CCTACAGCGACGTGTTCGAAGGCCCGCATGGAGTAGTACCGGATCGACCCATCCGCCATGTGATCATCCTCGAGGACGGGGCCGTACCTCCGCGCGGTTGCATCTACCGAATGAGCGAGGAAGAGTTAAGTGTGCTTCGGGCACAACTCGACGACCTTCTAGAGAAAGGCTGGATTCGGCCTAGCTCATCGCCATACGGTGCTCCTGTTCTCTTCGTCCGGAAGAAGAACAAGGATTTGCGGTTGTGCATCGATTATCGCAAACTCAATGCGCAGACGATCAGGAACGCCGACCCTCTCCCACGCATCGACGACCTTCTCGAGCGATTGGGCGGCGCCCAGTTCTTCTCTAAGTTGGATCTCAAGTCAGGGTACCACCAACTCGAGATTCGCAAGGAGGATCGCTACAAGACGGCGTTCAAGACTCGGTATGGGCATTTCGAATGGCTGGTCATGCCATTTGGCCTTACGAATGCCCCAGCCACTTTCCAAGCGGCTATGACGACGGAGTTCCGACACATGYTGGATCGTTTCGTACTTATATACCTCGACGACATTCTGGTTTACAGCCGGAGTCTGGACGAGCATGTGGAACACCTGCGCACCGTCTTGGAGCGGGTACGACAGGGCCGGAACCTGGACGTGGGCGCGGCGTGGAGCCGAGGAGACCGGCTTGCCTTGCATCTTGCGTTCGTAGCGTGCGAGAATGTCCGAAGTTGTTTCTTGCAGTTCCGCACGGGTCAACCATGTGCAGTATGCAAAATGTACCAAGTACTCGGTTGGCCTGTTGTCGTAGCGTCGCTGGGAGATGATTTCGCCGACCTCCTGGAAACCGTCCATAGAGGGTGGGTCTTGCGAACGTCTCCCGGGAAAATCGTCATGTTCCGATGGCGTGTAAAGAAACAACTTGGAGCAATGAAAGACTGGGTAGACGGGCAAGTGGGCGGGCACCTGAATAGTGAAGGAAGGTCCCTCGGGTGCATCCCCAGCGGGTGCCACGATCGGCCAAGGCCCGATCCATTTCGGGACGAGCTTGCAAGAGAGATCTTGTTCAAGGTTGAATTCCGCGGCGGAGACCCAAACGAGATCGTCGGCGCGGAATGGACAAGGAAGACGCTGGCGATTGGCTTGTTGGCTCATGCGTTGCTGCGTCTTGGCCATCTGGTCGCGTGCCTTGACAAGTAGCTCTTGCATCCGACACAAGAAAAAAAGATGGTCGTCGCTCTCGGCCGTTCGTGGAATGATAGTGTCCAACGGCGAAGTGACCGGCGAGCCGTGCTTGAATTCGAAGGGCGACATCCCGATAGCCGGGTGGATGGAGGAGTTGTAGGCCAACTCGACATCCGGCAGCTGCTCAACCCAATCTTTCTGGTTAGGACGGATGAGAGTGCGAAGGAGAACCTGTGCGGTTTGGTGCGCCCTCTCCGTTTGGCCATCGGTCTGGGGGTGGTGAGCTGAACTGGTCTTGAGAGATGAGCCCCATCGCTTGATGAGCGCCAACCAAAAATCGGACATGAACCGAGTGTCGCGGTGGGGTAACCCTTGGTTCGAATCCAACCGGCGTAAAGAACCTCGATCAACTTCGGTGCCTTGGCATGATAGCGGCAAGGCAAAAACATGGCGAACTTGGTGAGCCGGTCGACCACCGTGAGAATCCCATCCACGCCGGTCTTGTGCTTGGGGAACGGGCCGGTAATGTCCATGGCAATCACTTCCCTTCGCCTCAAAGGGACCGATAATGGTCATAACTCGCCGTACGGATGGTGGTTGCGGGATTTGCAGCGTAGGCAAACCTCGCATGACTCGCAGTAGCGTGTGACGTCGCCGAGAAGGCCGGGCCACCAAAATCGCTCGCGAAGTCGGCCAATCGTGCGATTGACTCCAAAGCGTTCGGTGGCGGGAGCATCGTGGAAATCGCCAAGAAGCCGTGTACGCAAGTGAGGATCACTCGGTACGCAAAGAAGGTCCTTCCCCCGTGTGTGGACAAGCAAGTACCCCTCTTGGATCCGGTAGTGAGAAGGCGCCGGATTAGGAGAGGAGCAATTCGCGTACTTGTCCCGAAACTCGGGGTCGGCTTGGTAGCCGCAGATGAAACTGTTCCGCAGGTCATCGTTGATCTCGAAGGTTGAGTAGACCGCGGTACAATGATCCGGACGTCGTGAAAGAGCATCCGCAAAACGGTTCGACTTCCCGGGAATGTGATCGAGAAAGAAGTTGAACTGGTCAATGAAAGTCATCCATCGAGCGATGGTGCTGTTGACGGTGTCTTGGGTCTTATAGAAGACCAACGGATTGTTGCCCGTTACCCATCGGAGTTGGCTTCGACCAAGGAGGAAATGCCGCCACGGCTTGAGCGCGTGGACGAAGGCGAGGAGCTCCTTCTTGTGTGCATCGTCAATAGAGTGCACGACGAGCACTTTCTTGCTGAAATACTCGACCGGGTGCCAGTCCACGCCATCGTGTTGCTCGAGGACGGCGCCAATGCCATAGCCGGACGCATCCGTAGTGACGCGTGTAGGCAAAAGCGGGTCGTATATGCGCAAGACCTCCGCAGATAATAGCGCGGCTTTGAGAGCCAAAAATGATTCTCGCGCCTCCTCTCCGAAGTCAAACGGTCGATCCTCGCATTGAAGCTTGGTCAAGTGGGCCGCGATCTTCGAGTAGCCTTTGATAAAACACTGGTAGTAGCCGGAGAGGCCAAGGAACGAACGAACATTCATGACGTTCCGAGGCTCCAGCCACTCTTGGATGGCTTGAATCTTGTCTGATAGCGGACTGATGCCCTCTGGTGTGACAAAATGGCCCAAGTATTCCAGCTCTTGCCGGACAAATTCGCACTTGTCGCGGTTGGCCTTGTACTTGGCGCGGCGGAGCGTCTCCAACACTTGTCGAAGATGCCCAAGATGATCCTCCAATGTCCGGCTATAGACGAGAATATSGTCTAAGTAGACCAGCACAAACCGGTCCAACATTGCACGAAACTCATTGGTCATTGCCGCTTGAAAGGTTGTCGGGGCGTTGGTGAGGCCAAAAGGTATGACCACCCACTCAAAATGTCCGTACCGCGTCTTGAACGCGGATTTGTAGCGATCATTCGGCCGGATCGAGATTTGATGATATCCCGATTTCAAATCCAACTTAGAAAAATACTTTGCGCCGCCCAATCGCTCAAGAAAATCGTCGATGCGAGGAAGAGGCCCCACATTCTTGACGGTTTGCGCGTTGATCTTGCGGTAGTTGATACATAATCGTAGATCCTTGTTCTTCTTCCAGACCAAGAGAATTGGTGCTCCATATGGGGAGCTACTAGGGCGGATCCAGCCCTTGGCCAACAAATTGTCGAGTTGTGCGAGGAGGACCTCAAGCTCCTCCTCGCTCATCCGATAGATGCAACCTTTCGGCAGCACGACACCGACCTCAAGAATGATCTCGTGAGAGATCGACCGATCCGGCACCACACCGGTAGGTGACTCGAAGATGTCGGCGAACTTGTCCAGCAACTGCACCACCCGGGGTCCGAAGACAAGTCCGTGGGTGAAGAGTCGGTTACCGCGACGGTCCATAGGAAACATAGGCCGATTTCCTCGGGCTGCTCGTAAGCGCAAGTCGCCCGGAATGATTTGGCCGTCACCACTTGGTACCGAATCGAAGGGTGCGGAAGAGGAATAGTACACGACACTTCGGCGCCGAATGCGTCGCGAACGCTAAGAGTCCGCCGGTGGAAGTTGACCGTGTGATCCGCACTTGCAAGCCAAGGCATTCCCAGAATGATGTCGAAGTCCATGTCCAAAATGTCGAACGTCACCGGTTCGCATGCATGAGGTGCGAAGTACACCGGTATGGCCTCGATGTAGCGGTCGATAAGTTGCTGCGTCCTTCTATCCGCCAACTTGATCGCCGTCGGGTTTGCCTTCCTTCGAAATTGTGCACCAAGGTCATCCCTTTGCATAAAGGCTTGGCTCATGAAGTTGTGAGACTCGCCGCTATCCAGCAAAGTGTTGCAGGACGCTTGCCCAACTTGGATGCGGACATAGAGTAGCGGTGCGTTATTGTCGTCGTACTGCTGATTGCGAAACCCGCGGGCCACCTTGGTAGTATACACAAGGATGTCCCCTACCGCGACTTCGTCATCCGTCGGCGAAGTTGGTGGTGCATAGAAGGATAAGTACGTGTGGAGATGAGCGCATAGTGTTGCGCATTGCGGTCCCGGCAAGCGGCCCGTGGTCGGGAGAGGAAGCCATGCGAAATCCCCGGACGTGAGCGGGTCCAATACCTCTATGTTGAACTCGCGCGCCGAATCCCATGAAGAACCACTTGAAGACGATACGTCGCCGCTGCCGGACGGAGAAGATGCCCCACACACGTCTTGTCCTTGAGCTTGAGTACCCAACGTAGGAACGAGCCGGGCAGCATAGTCCTCAAAAGAATATAGAAGAGGAGGACTATCGACTTCCGCATGTGCCTTGGAATGAAGGTCGGCCACTCACGAAGAGACCGGTTCCGGAGGCGTCGAGAGTGTTGTCGAGTCACTCTCGGCGGTACTCAGTTTCCCTGTTTGCCCTTGCCTTTCAATAGGCAGGCCAGTGTCTCATGGAGATCGTTGTTGCACCATAGGCAATAGTGGAATCTCGTGCGCGCCTTGAATGCTTGCTCGGAGATGCCGTATTGGGACCATGGGGTTGGAGATGCCGTGCCAGGTCCGGGGCTAGATGCGGTGTTTGTCTTCGTCTTGCCGCGTCCTCGGCCTTTGCCGGGGCGGCCACCTTCCCGGGCGGCTGCGAGTCTGTCCCCTTCATTGGCAGACACGGCCTCGTTAGTTTGGTCAAACAGCGTCGCCGCCGCGACCACGGCCACTCTTGGCCGATGCTGGTCCCTGCTCGGGCCTGGCGCAGACGAACGCAGGTTCTTAGCCTCCTTGTTCGTGATGATAATATGCGCGGCCTTGTCAAAGAGTTCCGCCGTTGTCGTCAAGGTGTCCTCGACGTGAGTCAGGGCATTCCTTAATGTCGAACAGGACCTTAAGATGAAATAGTGGCGGATGGCTTTGAAGCCCATTTGGATGTCTGGGACTGATGTCAAGCGTTGGTACTCGGCAATCCAGTCGACACTCGGCAGCGTGCCTTGCTCGAAGACCATTAGCTTGTCCATTGCTTTGATCTCCGACGACTCTACTTGTAACTGCTTGTGCCACGCCGCCTTCAGATCATCCCAACTGATCTTGGTGTGCAAGTCGGCAGCTACCACTCCGTACTTGGACAAGAGATCGTCCAACCATGCCTGGCACGCGCCCCCTGAGCGGGAGTATAAGTACTCATGGTGCTTGTGTTCTTTGATGTTGTGTAGCTGCAGCGTGAGCTCGAACTTGCGGAACCATGGAATCGGATTTGTCTTCAAACTCGAGTTGTTGGCGGTAGTACAGATCCGCTGCTCCAACTGTTGCGTTGCGGTCTGCTGTAACTGCACACTGTCCTTGAGGGAGCCGACGTCCATCTCCAATGCTTCGAGGCGATCGGAGGTGTTGGAAAAGCTGGCATCGGGGGCGGCAACAGGTCGCTGCTCCAGCTGCCAGAGGCGGCCGTGGACTTGAGCTAGCGAGTTGTCGAGGCTGTGGATGTCCTCCTGCTGTGTAATGCATGTTGCCAGGAGGTCCGTGAGATGGGAGAGGAGTAGAGCGATCTTATTTTCGCTATCCTCCATCTTGCCATTCTCGGCCTCGGCCCGCCATTCCGTTGCCATTGTGAGCAAGGTCTGCCCTCCGTTAAATATCTTCTCACGACGTTGGATTCTTTCTTCATCGGCAGCCTTTGCTGCTGCCTCGTCATGCTGGCGCTGTTGTTCAATTGCCAGCAGACGTGCCTGCTCGGCGTCCTCTGCCTTCTTCTTCGATGCTGTTGCTGCGTCATCTGCCCGTCTCTTTGTTTCGGTACTCCAGGCCAGCATCCGGGCGTGATAGGCCTCGTCTGCTTCTCCGGACCTCTGGTCCATAACGACTGCATGTGAACGCAACAGCATAGACCAGACCCGGGCCTGCTGACGTGGTATTCCCTGCTGCTGACGTGGCGCTGCTGTCGGCTGACATGGCCTGCTGACGTGGCCTGCTGACATGGCCTGCTGACGTGTCCTGCTGACATGGCCTGCTGACGTGTCCTGCTGACATGGCCTGCTGACGTGTCCTGCTGACATGGCCTGCTGATGTAGTCTGCTGACGTGGCCTGCTGATGTGGCAACTCACCAATGCCGTCGCAGGGGGTACCCGAAGATAGATAGAGAAGGTACGACCAGAGGGGGCAACATCATAGGTGGGGAGGGGTGGGTGGGTGGGATAATCGCCCAGATAACGCCCAGATAAGGAGCCACTAATCAAAAAAGAAAAGTTTGAACTTTGCAACAAAAAAAAAAATCCGAGAAAAATAAAAATCCCGAGTTTTGCAAGTTCAGTAGGTCTCCCAACCTCCCTTGAAGTGCGAAACTATCAACGAGAAAAATTTTGAACTTCAGACTGCAAATGATTTATAGAACTGACTAACAGAATCCTAGAACTGCGGAAAAAAAAACTCCGAAAAGAAATGACAAGTATAATTGAAGTATCCGGATTTACTCAGATGAGAGTATTCGCAGTTTGGAAAATAATACCTGCAGTAGGGATTTCCCGTACCGTTTTCAGGAAAACGAATTAAAAAAAAGAAGATATTCCGAATTTCTAAGTAACGGGAAATGCAACAGGAAATTGAAATTTTTGAAAAGAAGGATATTCCGGATTTTCAACAACGAAATTTCGAATTTTCAGAAGAAACAAAAATGGAAATTTCAGATGTTGCGCTATTGCGATTTTCCACAACAGAAATAGCAAAAAACAAAGTCCAAGAAAAGAAAAAAATTTTGATTTTCGGCAGTAAGGTCAAAATCGTGATTTTGGGGGCTAACTAGTGTGCTCTAATCAATCTATCAAGACTCATCAGCTACCTAGTCCCCGCACACGCGTCAGATCAGGTTGTCCTGATTCACGTGCGATGCTCCGATACCAACTGTTACATGCCCAGATGGGCGATGTACATAATAACCGAGGATCCGCAATGTGATAAAAAGGACTGAATGGACAATGCTGTGCAAGTGGAATCTCAACTAGCAATGTGCATTCCGATACATACAAAATGGTGTTGAATAGCGCAGGGAAGATTTAGATACAAGACCTGACCYGACCGAGACTGACCTTKATCACGTAGTACAAGATAGCGAAGCAGAATGCTAGAATACTGATGACTAGCCCAATCAATGTTTCAACGTAGACCAAACATACATCATGCTCATCACAAGGTGTGAAGAAGCCTGGCGCTTATACACAGAGAGGAAGCGCCAGGTCCAGACATACACAGACGAAGAGGAGGGGATCAGACGAAGGAGAGGGGGAGAGATGGGAATGTCGTTGACACCAAGTCTCTGTCACCAGTCCCAAATAATCCCTCGTTGATATGTCTGAAGCCCAAAAAGTCGAGTCTGGATCCAATGTCACCAAGCTCTCTCTCTCTCTCGTTCTTCTTGTAGTCTGCTGATGCAGTGAAGTCAGATAATGAGAGGGTGAGAGGAAGATGGTGGACTGAGAAGAGGAAGAAGACGAACTCTCTCTCTCTCATGAACGAGGTACTAACCTGTGAAGTTGACGCTGTGCTGCAGGTACCTCGAAGACGAAGCTGGAGGAACGGCGCTGCAGGTAGGTACCCCTGGCCTCCGCCCAATCTCTCTCTCTCTAGTACTATCCTAGCTATGGCGCCCAGCGCTGAAGACTACAGCTACCTACTGGCGCCCAGCGCTGAAGACTAAGGCTAACGCTACTACTACTCTTGCAGCGCTCCTCCAGAGTGCTGCTGCCGAATCCTGAAGACTACTGACTGCCTCCTGCCTACCCGTGAAGTGCATGGGAAGTCCCTATGTACTATCTCGGCCTGCCTCCTGACTGCCTCCGCCTGCCTGCAGTGGCAGGGCGGGCAGTCCAGGAGGCTGCTCTTGCCAGTGCCGAACAGGCTGGCGCTGCAGCTGTCGTGGGAACAGGCCAAAAATAGCCTGTTCCGAAAACCCTGGTTTGGTGCCTGAGTTTCAGGGCAGGCTGGTCTGATGACAGACCGGAAATGGCCCTTCGTTTCAGGCTAAAAAGGCTGCTGCCATTTTTAGTCTGAAACGACACAGGGTCTGTAGGCCCCTGTTTTCCAGGCTTTCGAGCTGACTGGTCACGGGGCCTGTAGACCCTGGTTTTCAGGCTCTCAGCCTGAGGGACGCAGGGCCTGGAAAATGGCCCTCGTGTGCAGGCGCAGCATGTAACAGTGTGTGTGTGTGTGTGTGTGTGTGTGTGTGTGTGTGTGTGTGTGTGAGAGAGAGAGAGAGAGAGAGAGAGAGAGAGTAATAATTCAGGAAGTGAGTGCAAGGTTCCCACGTCTGTGTGTGTGTTTGAGAGAGAGAGAGAGAGCACCTAATATCAAAAAAACATCCACACGAGGCTGAAAAGAGTGCAAGGAGGGCCACATTTGTATGGTTAAGCGACATGTACACAACTGGTCTGCCTTAGCAGCACACCTGTGGATCGCTAAAAAAGGGAGGCAGGCACAGAAAAACCAACCTGCACCCAACAATGAAGAATGTCTCACCATTCTGAAAAAAGTTATTCACTGAAAAACATCCCAAAACAAAACGGCAGGCATGGACAGAAGGCTCTCACAGCACCAGGAGCTCCACTGGATCCAGCAATCCAGCCYCCCGASCYCCCCCCCCCCCCCCCCCTTCCGAAAAACTCCCGCCACAGCAATTTCACCCATGATAAAAGCCCTCTGAGACCCTCTATGAACACTACGAATCAGGCCTGATGCCACGAGACCCTCCCACGACAGCAGGACAACAACTTCTTTGTGTTCCTGAAACAGTGGCCCGTGGGACAGCCAACAGTCTCAGTCTCATCCTGAAGATCTCGTGGACGCACCCAAACTTGTATCCACCAAACCCCAAGAGTGCCCAAGTATCAATCTCAGCCAAAATGAGCAACAAAAGATCTCTAACAAGACCGTATGCTAACAAACAAACACCATTTTAATACCAATCCAGGAAATCACATAACAATGCCCACTCTGTTTGTGTATTTGTGTCCACATACACAGGGGAGAGAGAGAGAGAGAGAGAGAGAGAGAGAGAGAGAGAGAGAGAGAGAGAGAGAGAGAGAGAGTTCCGTCATCTGTGCTTTAAGTGAAGCTACAGTAGGAAACGTTTTGTACGATATGGTGTATGCATTAGCAAAAGCTAATCTTGAGCCACATTGAGGTCCTTACATGTTTTTTGCAAGACCCAGTCAAAACAACCTTCATGCAGTCTTTGCCCATTTGGATGAAGCATGTATAGCAATGGCATCCTTGTTCGCCTCTTACCCACTCGTGAAGTGAGACCTGTGACATTGTATTCAAGTCTATGTTGCACACACACACACATGAACACAAGAAAAAAGGAAAAAACTTCAAAAAAGGAAGTTCAGAGTGCTCGTACAAGCAAATCTTAATGGGGCAGTTGTAGTCAAATCAAACAAAATTCCTCGATTTCCAGGATTCGGAGCTGCCCAGTAAACCGTAGGGAGAGAGGGAGGGAGAAGAGGACAACAAACAAGGGGCTGTGACAAACTGTTTCGTCGGAGTTTCACCGACTCATCAGGAGGCTGAACCCTCAACAGTCTGCGGAATCCCCTAATTGGTTACACTGTAAGTGATAATCCGCCTTAACCCCGATTGTAGTTAAGCATCAACGACTGCCCGGCAACCGATACCTTGAGGTGGGAACCAACCACTGCCCTCAAGGTACCTGTGACGAAAATCAAAGCCGACTTGCACCCACACCAGATGGGAAAATCTACAGACTGTCGGTTCACACCCCATCACAAGCCAGCGGAATACCCATGAAACAATGAAAGGTTTATCACAACCAGAAAATACACTCCAGACACGCCACTGGCACTATATATCGTCAAATATATATGTTCCCATTGTTCCACCTGCGTTGCTAGGTACAAGTTCAGCTTCTGTTTGCAGCACCACTACTCCTCTTGTTGTGTATCACCGACGACATCCGCGACATCGTCACTTGTCCGGGGATCAGCAACCTGTTTCTTTGTCTGCCCCGATTCTCTCTGTGCCTCCTCCACAGGTTGTTGGGGTTCCTTTGTTTCAAACGGCAATATCTGCTCTGATGCCTCCTGCAGACAGTCCAGCTGCCTGCAGGCAGCCACCAGTCCCTACTCAGGATGCAGCCGCTGCCCAGAGTACACGCCCGACTCTAGGTACAGTCCCTACTCAGGATGCAGCCCTAAACGTTGAGGGATTGGAACATGATCTGCCCGGATTGCAGTTGACCCCACAAGGCGTAGACCACATGGGGGATCTGCAACTGGCTGACCAGCATTGTTCAGATGAACCACAATTTTGTGCTCCGCCACACGCAGACCACATAGGTGATCTGCAAATGACTGACCAGCAAACAACCCAACACAGTTTGGGCTTGCAACACCATCTGGGTGATCTGCAAATTGTTGGCCAGCATCCAACAAACCAGCCTAAGAACCTCACCAATCTCTGTGGTCTGACAGCAACTAATATCTGTCTTCACATTCTCCATCGCCCGTTTTATATACCATCAGACTTCCTTGCAATCGCCCTTCAGCTTGATGTTGATCTTTCCCAACGACAGCCAAAGGATTGTAATTATACCAGCGAAGGAGGCTTTACCATTGCTGTCCTACAAGTAGCAATGAGGGACCGTCAACTTGAACTACGCAATGCTCGAGCAGCTGAGTGGTTTAATCCTCCGTCCCACATCTTTGCCTGCATTGTGCACGGCCCTGGCCATTGCATGGCCATTGTACATGCCACTGACCACTGCGAGTTGTGGGACAACGGCATCATGGTCCATGCCATGATTGATTTCACTGATTTCTTACAAAATGATGTTGTTTTGTTGCCACAACAAACCGTCCGCAATCTCTTTTATGTCGAAGATCATTCCTCTGGCCCCGTGCTGCAGCAAGACAATGTACCAACACTCTACGACCTTCTCCTTTGCACAACCACAAACACTGTTACTCTCGGTTGTAGCTGCCATCGTCTCTGTCACAATCACTACAATGACATGGTTTCTGCATCCATGTGTGCAGAGGACTGTCCCACCATTCCTGATTGCAGGCATCCTCTGC